ACAATTATGAATTGGGCTGCAATAAACATTCTGGTACATACATCTTTGTTATAATGTGATTTTTGGTCTTCTGGATATATACCTAGTAGAGGAACTGTGGCCATTTTAAATGAGGGAGATAGGTCCAGATGTACTGTGGTTAATGCATTTGTACTTTAAGGAGTAAATAAAGTAAAATAAATAGTTTTCAAATACTTAGAAGAATATCTTCTTAGATTTTTTTCTTTCTTTTTTTTTTTTTTTAGAGACAGAGTCTCACTTCATTGCCCTTGATAGAGTACCATGGCATCACAGCTCACAGCAACCTTCAATTCCTGGGCTTAGGCGATTCTCTTGCTTCAGCCTCCTAAGTAGCTGGGACTACAGGCATCCGCCACAACGCCTGGCTATTTTTTATTGCAGTTTGGCCAGGGCCGGGTTTGAACTCACCACCCTCAGTATATGGGGCTGGCATCCTACTCACTGAGCCACAGGCACCAAGCTCTTCTTAGATTTTTTGTGTTACTCAATGTAATGGCTAGATAATTGATTTTAACTTTAACTGGTGTTATTAATAGTTTCTGAGTCACATTAAGTCCAGAAAAGCAAATGGTGAGGGTCTAATTTGTTTGGCCAATTTCTGAGAGGTAAATTCTGCCACTGGGAGAGATCTTGGTGATGTCACTCTTGCAGGGTTGGAAAGTGATGTGCTGGGCACACCTTTTTGTATTTTGTGCTTTATTTTTACTTCAGAAATACTGCATTTCTCCCTGTTCCCCGAGGCACAGCAATATTGAAAGTAGGCCAGTTAATAACCCTACAGTGGCCTTTGAGTGTTCAAGTGAAAGGAAGAGTCACATATCAAGTCTTAACTTTCTTATTTAAAAACATTTTTTAAAGCCAGCCAAATTTAGCAGTAAGGGTTGTATATACCAACTTCAGTGACACAAGTGTTAATAAGTTCTAATAACATGCTACCATTGGGCTATCCTTAACTTAAAAGCTAGAAATGATTAAGCTTATTGAGGCAGGCATGTCAAAAGCTGATGTAGGAGGAAAGCTAAGCCTCTTGTGCCGGCTTGCCAAGTTCTAAGTGCAGAGGAAAAGTTTTAAAGGAAATTAAAGCTGAAACAAGCTAGGCATGGTGGTGCAAGACTACAGTCCCTGCTTCTTGGGGATGTTGAGGCAGGAGGATCGCCTGACCCTAGGAGTTCTGGGTTGCAGTGCTGATATAGAAGCTGCAGTAAGTTACCTAGAAGATAAGACCTCGCTAAAACAGCAGATTTTCTATGTAGACAAAACAGCCTTCTATTAGAAGAAGATGCCATCTATGATGTTTATAGCTGGAGAGGAGAAGTCAGTGCCTAGCTTAAGAGCTCAGAGCCTCGGGCGGCCCTTGTGGCTCAAGGAGTAGGGCGCCAGCCCCATATGCCGGAGGTGGCGGGTTCAAACCCAGCCCTGGCCAAAAACTGCAAAAAAAAGAAAAAAAAGTTCAGAGCCTCATAGGATAGGCTGATGTCAGGGGCCTATGCAGCTGGCAGCTGGTGACTTAAATTGAAGCCACTGCTCATTTACCATTCTGAATTATGCAGATATACTCTGAGTATGCTCTATAAATGGAATCACAAAACCTGGTGACAGTATGATTGTTTACACCTTGGTTTACTGAATACTTTAAGCCCCTTGTTGAGATCTGCTCATGAAAAAAGATTCCTTTCATAGCCGGGCGTTGTGGCAGATGCCTATAGTCCCAGCTACTTGGGAGGCTGAGGCAAGAGAATCGCTTAAGCCCAACAATTTGAGGTTGCTGTGAGCTGTGATGCCATGGCACTCTACTGAGGGTGACACAATGAGACTCTGTCTCAAAAAAAAAAAAAAAAAGATTCCTTTCAAAATATTACTGCTCATTGCACAGCCCACACTTCCTGGATGACCCAGAATGCTGCCCTTCACCCCAGAGCTCTATTGGAGATGTGCAAGGAGATGAATGTTGTTTTCATGCCTATTAACACAACATTCATTCTGCAACCCATGGATCAAGGAGTTACTTCAACTTTCAGATCTGATTGTTTAAGAAATACATTTTATTTTGTAAGGCTATAGCTGCAAGAGAGAGTGATTCCTCTGATGGATCTGGGCAAAGTAATTGAAAACCTTCTGGGAAATATTCATCATTCTAGATGCCATTTATCTGTTATTCATGGAAGGTGGTCAAAATGCCAACATTAACAGGGCTTTGGAAAGTGGATTCCAACCCTCATGAGTGACTTTGAGGAATTCAAACCTTCAGCAGAGAAAGGAGCTGCAGTTGTGGTGGAAATAACAGTAGAACTAGAATTAAAAGTAGAACATGAAAGCCAGGTACGGTGGCTCATGCCTGTAATCCCAGCACTTTGGGAGGCCAAGGTGGGTAGATCACGTGAACTCACAAGTTCAAGACCAGCCTGAGCTGGAGCGAGACCCCCATCTCTAAAAATAGCTGGGCATTGTGGCAGGTGCCTGTAGTCCCACCTGCTCCAGAGTCTGAGGTAAGAGAATCGCTTGAGGCTGGGCATGGTAGCTCACGCCTGTAATCCTAGCACTCTGGGAGGCCAAGGTGGGTGGATTGCCTAAGCTCACAGGTTTGAGACTAACTTGAGCCAGAGCAAGACCTCATCTCTAAAAAAAGAAAAAATAGCCAGACATTGTGGTTGGGTATCTGTGGTCCCAGCAACTTGGGAGGCTGAGGCAAGAGAATCGCTTGAGCCTAAGAGTTAGAGGTTGCTGTGAGCTATGCTGCCATGGCACTCTATCAGGGGCAACAAAATGAGACTATGTCTCAATAAATAAATAAATAAATAAATGTAGAGCCTGAAGATGGGACTGAATTCCCTGGCTTCTTTTTTTTTGAGACAGAGCCTCAAGCTATCCCCCTGGGTAGAGTGCTGTGGCTTCACAGCTCACAGCAACCTCCAACTCCTGGGCTCAAGCGAATCTCCTGCCTCAGCCTCCCAAGTAGCTGGGACCACAGGCGTCCGCCACAACACCGGGCTTTTTTTTGGTTGCAGCCATCATTGTTGTTTGGTGGGTCCGGGCTGGATTCGAACCCGCCACCTTAGGTGTATGTGGCTGGCACCTTGGCCACTTGAGCCACAGGCGCCGAGCCGAATTCCCTGGTTTCAAGATAAGAGAACAGATGAGGAGTTCCTTCTTATGGATGAACAAAATGGTTTCTTTTTCTTTTGTTTTTATTTATTTATTTTTTGAGACAGAGTCTCAAGCTGTCGCCCTGGGTAGAGTGCTGTAGCGTCATAGCTCACAGCAACCTCAAACTCTTGAGCCTAAGCAATTCTTTTGCCTCAGCCTCCCAAGTAGCTGGGGCTATAGGTGTCCACCACAAACCTAGCTATTTTTTGGTTGTAGTTGTCATTGTTGTTTGGCGGGCCTGGGATGGATTCGAACCTGCCAGCTCCAGAGTATGTGGCTGGCGTTCTAGCCACTTAAGCTATACAGGAACGGAGCCAAGATGTTTTGGGGGTTTTTTTTTTTTTTTTTTTTTTTTTTTGAGATGAGGTCTCACCATGTGACCCAAGCTGGCCTGGGTGGGCTTAAGTGATCCTGAGTAGCTGGGACTACTGGTGTGTGCCACCATGCCCACCTTCATTAAGGTGTGTGCATTGCCTTTTTAGGTGTGATGCTACTGGGCACTTAATATATTGCAGCACAGTGTAAACATAACTTCTGTGTACACCGGGAAACCAAACACTTGCGTCATACAGTGTTGCTTCACAGATAGATTTGGCATAAGTAACCCCAGGAAAATGTGTAAAGTCATATATTTTCAGTTTTGATTATCTTTCTTTCTGTGTGGCTTGTTCAGCTGTAAGTTTCAGTACTTCAGTGTTTAGGCAATGGCTCTGTACCATGTTCCCACCTTCCTCCTGTGGCTTCTCTGACACTGTGAAGGTGGGGATTTCTGTCTGCCCTTCTACCTAGTGACCCCAGACAGGAATGGCTAGTCACCTTGGTAGAAGGAAAGACACAGTGGCAATAGTGCTGGGCAGGCGGGAAGCCTGTGTCAGGCACACCATGACTAACACCCAGGGAGCAGGCTCCTGGGGCATCCGGAAGCCCCTCACAGGCAGTTGGCTCATGTTGGGGTGGCTGGGGAGGCATCAGCCTCACCCCTGGCAATGGAAAGTCTGAGAGCTGAGTTAACACTGATGCCTGCCCCTCCTCTCCCTTAGGGGCGACCCTGCTCACCATGCTCACTCAGGCCAAGCTCATTTGTCATGACTGCCCAGCCTTTTCCACCCAGAGCCCAGTGGTCCCTGGTCCTGAAGAGGTGGCCCCTGCAGAGTTAGCTCAGCCTTGAGCCTCCCAGGAACCTCAGCCTAGATGAGGGGTGGATGGGCCTGCTGCTGAGGCCTGGCACTGTCTGAGGGAGGTAATGGACTTTCAGGGATGTGTTAGCCCTGGGCCAGGTCAGGCTGACTTGTGTGTGTCTGAGGCAGGTGGATGCACAGCAGGGTGTGGAGCTCTGGTGCCAAAGGCAGCATTCTGGGCTATTCAGGAAGTGTGTGCTGTGGATTCCTTCTCAGTGCCAGAGGCTTCTTTCTCCTACAGTAGGGCAACAAACTTGGTGCCTGTCCCGTGCTGGCTCTAGTTGGTTGGCTGTGCACTTTGGCTTCTCCCTCAGCCCCTCCTGTGCACTTGGAGGGCAAGACTGGACCCAGGTACCCTCACAGCCCATGAGGAATCCAGCCTGCCCCAATTCCTACAGCTGCCACTGGAGATGCAAGGCCCATGCTGCCCCCACGGGCTCCCTGTGCCTGTTGGTTCCTGCTACCTTTGATTCAGCTCTTGGTGGATGCTTCACAGAGCTTTTGTGGACATTACCTGTCTCATTCAGGCCTTTGAAGGTCTCTTTAGACCACCAGGCCAGCCCTTGAGCCTCTCTGGTGTGGTTCCCAGTTCACCTGCCATCCCATCCCTGCAGTGGCTTGCCCACCTCCTGACCTGTGCCTCTATTTTCTTCACAGCTGGGAGCCACAGGATTTGAGACGGTGGGACCTGTCAGCAGAATGTCTCCTCCCCCTGAGAGCGACCCCAAGGCCACCGAGATGAGCACCGTGTCCAGGCCCACAGGAGCACCTGCATCTCACTAGCCGGGAGCCGTGGGCTGCCTGTGCCTGCCAGGCTGCAGTGATGTACTAGCCACAGAAAGGCCGCAACCTCGGGTTTCCACAGACTTGGGATTTGCACGGCAGCAGAGTCACCGTGGAGAGGCCAGGGTATCACAAACTTATGGATTTTGACAAGAAAGGAGGGAAAGGGGAGTTGGAAGAGGGCCGGAGAATGTCCAAGTCCGGCGGGGGCCGCAGCAGCCACGGCATCCGGAGCTCGGGTACCAGTTCAGGGGTCCTAATGGTGGGCCCCAACTTCCGCGTCGGCAAGAAGATCGGCTGTGGCAACTTTGGGGAGCTTCGCCTAGGTGAGCCCCCACTCAGCAGCAGGGAGGTTTTGGGAGGCTGCCCCTCTAGGGACACGAACCAGGGCCCTGCCATGATGAGCAGTGCCATCTGGACTGCCACGGGTATGTCTCAGTATGAATTCTGCCCCTCCCAGGAGTTTTTGGGGGTAATGTGGCCCTGGCCTCTGCTTTGGGGGACAGTTCTGTTGGGGGTCAATTGTGTAGTGGGCTGCAGACTGCAGATAGGCTATACTGCATGGAGAGAGGTGCCTGCATTGTGGGTTCTGAAGTTGTTACTTCCCACCCCTGGTCTCTAGGCTAGACAGAGACCTGGGGTATTCACATTCCCAGCACTGCTCGGTGCAATCAGTCCAGCAGCTGGTGTCCCTGGTGCTATGTGCCATTCCTTGTTTAAACATCTAAAATGCAGCACTGGGCCTTCCCAGGCCTCCGTCCCACCTGCTCTTGTTTCACACTGACCTTCAGCCTGGGTACTGCTGGTGCAGGACAGACAGGGACAGGTGGTGGTGGCAGAGGGGCCAACCTCCCATAGGTGCCCCATGTCAGGCAGATCCAACCTGGCCCCCAAGGCCCTCATCTTAGGTTGTCAGATGAGGGAAACAGGCCCAGGGAGGGAGTGTGATTTGACCACATCTTCAAGGGCAACTGCCTAGAGACCACTCTGGACTCCATGCATATTCCTTACCTGTGTCTTTGGATCTGTGACCCACCTGCCTACCTTAGTTTGCTCACCTATTAAACGGAATGGAGCCAGTTCCCCTGGTGGGGCAAGTTCCCCTGGTGGGGCAAACAAGGTAATGAGTTTTGGGCAAGTGGTCAGCAATGGGTGAGTGTCTTGTGTTCCGTCAGCAGCCTCTCCCCTCTCTAGAAGATGGAGGTTATTGTCTTAGCACAACACTTAAACTTGTGTATTCTCATTGGCTGCAAACCCTCTTCTCAGCCAGGGCCCACCTAGCGCTTTGCAGAGGCTGCCAGGATTCTACCTTCATATGTAGAGTCGTGCTTTTTGCCCAGCCCACTCTGGACTTTGGCCGTGGAGCCTCTTGCTTGTCCACTTGTGGCTTCAGGACATTTCAGACTCCAACTGATGTATTGAGCCACCTCTGATCAGAGCCATTCCATCTGGACCCTGGTCCCCACAAGATGTGCACATGTGTGTACATATACTCAGACACACGTACGGACGTGACACACACATATATGTGTGCACACACACATATGCACACACAAACACATAGATGCATATGCACAGACACAACCACACACATATGAGTGAGTGCACACACAAACACCCTTACACATGTACACAACTCTGACCTACAGCTCCTGTAGCCTGTACCGGGTAGTTCTGTACTGTTCTGGGGGTCCTATACTGTTCAATGGTCATTACAGGTACTGTTCCTCACACAGGTCCCCTTAGGCAGAAGGAAGTTTATTTTGAAGTTTAAAAAAATTTTGGTGTATGTTCTTTTCTGGCTTCATGGACTCAATGTGCATTCAAGGGCAGCTGTGTTGCATGAATCAGTAGTTGCTCACTGAGTAGTGCCGTGAGGGTGTCCAATTGTGCAGTGCTCTGTGTTCTCTTTATATATAACCCTGCTCAGAGACATTTGGGTGTTTCTAGATTTCTGTTAATAAAACTGGCCTAGACACCCCTCTGTGAGGCCTGTGTGTATGTGTGCGCTTGTGTACGTGTGTGTGTGTCTATTAAAGTGTTAGGCCATGTAGCAGTATGTGCTTGAAAAACTGTGAAACTGTGATGCTGACTTCCCCCATGCTCTTCCACCTGAAGCCCCTGCTGTGATGGCATGGAGAGTGCCAGGCATCTAAGCACCAGCTCTAAGCTGTTAGGCATCCACAGGTGGAGGCGTGGTGGGTGTGTAGTGGTACCCACTTCAAGTTCAATTTTCCATTTCCTTGATGAGTCATGTTTTTCAGCATTGTCCTCTTGTATATAATGTGTTTGTTTATTTATTTATTTATTTTTAGGAACAGAGTCTCACTTTATCACCCTCAGTAGAGTGCTGTTGTATCACAGCCCACAGCAACCTCCAACTCCTGGGCTTAGGCAATTCTCTTGCCTCAGCCTCCCAAGTAGCTGGGACCACAGGTACCCGCCACAATTCCTGGCTGTTTTTTTGGTTGCAGTTTGGCCGGAGCCAGGTTCAAACCCACTACCCTCAGTATATGGGGCTGGCACCCTACCCACTGAGCCACAGGTGCCGCCCCTGTGTCTTTTTTTTTAATTCTCATTTAGGCATGGTTTTCTTTGTGTTTATCCTACTCAGCATTCATTGAGGTTCTTGGATCTGTACATTAATGCTTTTTCATTAAATTTGGCAAAAATTTAGCTGCAATTTTGTCAAATATTTTTTCTTCTTTGAACTTACTTTCATTATTACCTGTTTGATGGGAGTGTTTGATTCTGCCCCAGGTCCCTCGAGGTCTTTTTATTTTCTTTCATCTTGCATTCTCTCTTTGTGCTTTGGTCTGGATACTTTCTGTTGTCTGCTGTAAGTTCAGCCTTTTTTTTCTTACAGTGTCTAATATATTAAGTTTACTCAGTGAATTTTTCATTTCAAAGATGGTATTTGCCAGTTCCATTTGCATTCTTTTTTGAGATTTCCCATCTACTCATTCATTTTAGCCATTTTTCCCTTTAAATCCTTAAACATGTTTATAATGTTAATAGGTGTTTGTCTTAGTTTGTGTTGTGCTGCTGTAACAGAGCACCACATTGGCTCAGTGCCCGTAACACAGTGGTTACAATGCCAGCCACATAAACTGAGGCCAGTGTGTTCAAACCCAGCCCGGCGCAACTAAACAATAATTACAACTGCAACAGAAAAATGACTGGGAGTTGTGGCAGGTGCCTGTAGTCCCAGCTACTTGGGAGGCTAAGGCAAGAGAATTGCTTAAGCCCAAGAGTTGGAGGTTGCTGTAAGCTATGACGCTACAGCACTCTACCAAGGGCAATAAAGTGAGACTTTGTCTCTAAAAAAAAAAAAAAACTGGAGGTGTGATTGGCAAGTTCCTTTCCCCAAGGTGTGGACTTTCTGGATTCTCAGCTGGATTTAAGGGAGTTCAGGGAGGTCTCCAAGCTCTGAGCAGCTAGAACTTCAGTGTCTTCTATCCTGTGGGCCTGTCAGAATCTTCTTTCGTCTTGAGGATTCTGCTGCCTACACAACTGGAAGTGTGCATGGAGGCCTTTGTGAAGCCTGCAGAACCCTGAGCACCTGACCACTCCCCATAAAAGAAAACATTGAGTGGCCAGGTGCAATGGTTCACATCTGTAATCCTAGCACTGTGGGAGGCCGAGGTGGGTGGATTGCCTGAGCTCACAGGTTCAAGACCAACCTGAACCAGAGCAAGACCTCGTCTCTAAAAATAGCCAGCTTTGTGGCTGGTGCCTGTAGTCCCAGCTACTTGGGATGCTGAGCCAAGAGGATCACTTGAGCCCAAGAGTTTGAGGTTGCTGTGAGTCCAGGGCACTCTACCAGGGGCAACAAAGTGAGACTGTGTCTCAAAGAAAAGAAAAGGGAAAACATTGATTAGCTACATGTCTTCTAAGTCTAAAAGGTCTGTTCATAGAGGCTAAGAACATGAACAGGAAAGCCACAGACAAGTAGAAATATGTGCAGAGCAGCACTTTGACAAACCACTAATGTCTGGGATATGTAAAAGAACCACAGCTTGGTGGTAAGATGATAAACAGTCCAGTTAAAAGTAGGCAAAGATTAGAACAGACACATCAGCTTGGCGCCTGTGGCTCAAGCAGCTAAGGTGCCAGCCATACATACACACCTGAGCTGGCAGCAGGTTTGAATCCAGCCCAGGCCCGCCAAACAATGACAGCTGCAACCAAAAAATAGCTAGGTGTTGTGGCAGGCACCTGTAAACCCAGCTACTTGGGAGGTGGAAGCAGGAGAATCTCTTGAGCCCAGGAGTTGGAGGTTGCTGTAAGCTGTGATGTCACAGCACTCTACCCAGGGTGACAGCTTGAGGCTCTGTCTCAAAAAAAAAAAAAAAAAACAAACCAGACACATCACAGAGGAATGGTTGGAGCACACAGGCAGAGTCTCACTTAGCCTCACCAGCCTCAGGGGACAGCAACTCAGCCCTCAGCAAGTCATACTCCATGCCTGTCAGCACATGTGGGCATCTCTGCCAGAGAAGGCAACAGCTGCCCACAGCAAGCCTTGCCTGGTAGTGTTGCTGCAGCTCTGCAGTCCTGTGCTAGGGATGGAGGGTAACAGAGACCAATCTCCCAAGGCTGCTCAGCAGAAGATAAAAACAAACCAGGGATGTATAGTGATACAGATGACACATGTGTCACCTGGCAAGAGGGGCCACACACGAGGGAACATAGCAGGCCACCCCACCTAGGGGCTGCTGCTTGGGTGGTAAAGGTGGAAGCAGGCAGGGGTCTGTAGTGGTGGTGGTGGTGGTAAGTGTGCACATACATGCTGACTCAGTCTGGCTCTCAATAGCAGCATGCATCTGCCAAAACTAATCAGATAGTGCTCTCCAGATGCAGGCATCCTCTGTGTAAATTTCACCTCCAAAGGGAAAAGGAAGGACTGTGTATAAACATTGAACTGAACCTGCAGGAGGAAATATTGAGGGGGAAGCTTACTGATGTCTAAAAGTTGGAGATGCCTCTCTAATGAGACAGATTGATGGGTGTTGGACCATCATAGCCTTACTGGGGTATGTTTCTGTTTTTGAAACTCTGAGAACAAAAGAGTGGAGGAGGACATCAGAGGCAGACCTATTCATTGTTCAAACTCAGGAACCAGCCCAGAGGGGCTCGTCTTGTCCTGGGAGCTGTTATCTGAGGTCCTGCAGATTGTAAACACACCCCAGGCAGGCAGTGCTACAGACACAGTGAAGCCAGAGGGCCCTGTCTGCAGCTAGGCTGACCCTTGAGGTGTACTAAGCCACCACAGTCATAGCAGCCTTAACTAAGCTGTCTTCCAGAACTTGTCCCCTCAAGGCTCTGTAAGCATTAGAGACTGACCACCTTCTTCCTCTCAGACTAACAGGAGAAAAGCTTCCCTTGGTGGTTATGAAACTCCTGCCTTTTGCATTTTTGTGGATTGAGGCTTGGACGTCCTCTGTAGGCAAGAGGGTCTGTCTCTCTGTCTTCTAGCCCATGTAGGATGTAGGGTCCTGCAGGCTGTGCTGGAGCTAAGGGGATGAGGGACCCAGCTTGGGGTCAGGACCTTAAGCTTGAGCACAGGAGAAATGCATCTGGGAGGGAAGGGGCATGCTGAGAACCAAGGCTTCTTAACCAGAGATGGATTTGGGGATGACCTCACAGGCTGGGATGTAGGGTAGGAACAGATATCTGGCAGCACCCCCCCCCCCCCGTGGAGGTACCCTTCTGGGGATGGCTAGGACCCTGCCCACCTGATGTCCCTCTATCCCCACAGGGAAGAATCTCTACACAAACGAGTACGTGGCTATCAAACTGGTGAGTGGGTCGTCCCTCCTGTTCCCAGCAGCAGCACACCATGGGTCTGGGACTCGGGTGAGGTGGGGGTGACGTGGGCTCCTCTCCCCCCCACCCCCAGGAGCCGATCAAGTCTCGGGCCCCACAGTTGCACTTGGAATACCGGTTCTACAAGCAGCTCAGCTCCGCAGGTATGTCCAGGCCCTGGAGTGGCTGTCGTGGGGGTGGCCTGGACTGTCCTTGTACCTGTATCTCTGTGCTCCTTGCAGAGGGCGTCCCTCAGGTCTACTACTTTGGCCCGTGCGGGAAGTACAATGCCATGGTGCTGGAGCTGCTGGGGCCCAGCCTGGAGGACCTGTTTGACCTGTGTGACCGCACCTTCACACTCAAGACGGTGCTCATGATTGCCATCCAGCTGGTGGGCGCAGGGAGAGGTGGGGGTGGGCTGGGAGGGACTGCAGGAGAGGTGATCTGGGCCTACATGGAGGGAGGGGAGTGGCTGCTGGGGCGGGGCCTGGCAGGAAGGGGCTAGGTTCCCGGCCTTGGGGATGCTGAGGCCGAGTCACCCTTAGATCACCCGCATGGAGTACGTGCACACCAAGAGCCTCATCTACCGGGATGTGAAGCCTGAGAACTTTCTGGTGGGGCGCCCGGGGACCAAGCGGCAGCATGCCATCCACATCATCGACTTCGGACTGGCAAAGGAGTACATTGACCCCGAGACCAAGAAGCACATCCCGTACCGCGAGCACAAGAGCCTGACGGGCACAGCACGCTACATGAGTATCAACACACACCTGGGCAAAGGTGAGTGCCTGAGGGGCTGTGTGTTTGGGGTTGAGGGAGCGAGCAGACGCTGAACCTCCTGTCCCTGTACAGAGCAGAGCCGCCGGGATGACCTGGAGGCCCTGGGCCACATGTTCATGTACTTCTTGCGTGGCAGCCTGCCCTGGCAGGGGCTCAAGGTATGTTATGTGCAGGATAGGGCTAGGGGCTTGGGATAGGGACTCAACATGGGCACAGAATGGATAGGCAGGTGGTGCATGGAGGGCTGGGTGGGAGCTTAAGGTGGAGGGGGGCAGGGCTGGCGGCACAGGGTGGCAGGAGCTCAGGCCCACTTCAGCTCCTCATCTATAGGCTGACACGCTCAAGGAGCGGTACCAGAAAATTGGGGACACCAAGCGGGCTACGCCCATCGAGGTGCTCTGTGAGAACTTCCCAGGTAAGGAGCCCCTGCGCTTGCCGCCCTACCCCCGCAACCCCTGCCCTCGCCAAGGCCTGCTGGCGCTCTCTCCGCAGAGGAGATGGCCACGTACCTGCGCTACGTGCGGCGCCTGGACTTTTTCGAGAAGCCAGACTATGACTACCTGCGGAAGCTCTTTACCGACCTCTTTGACCGCAGCGGCTTCGTGTTTGACTATGAGTATGACTGGGCCGGCAAGCCCTTGGTAAGTGTAGGGCTGGGCCAGGAAGCCCTGCTGGAAGTGGTGGAGCCCAGCCCCTCAGGCCCATCCCAACAGACTCTCCTGTTCACCCCTCTCCACTGTAGCCAACACCCATCGGCACTGTCCACACTGACCTGCCCTCCCAGCCTCAGCTACGGGACAAAGCCCAGCTGCACAACAAAAACCAGGTGAGGACCGGTAGGGACCTCAAACCAGGGAGGGCTGTGGACGCCAGCATGACTCCCCTAACTCCTACCAGGCGCTGAACTCTACCAATGGGGAGCTGAACGCTGACGACCCCACAGCTGGTCACTCTAATGCCCCCATCACTGCACCTGCAGAGGTGGAGGTGACCGATGACACCAAGTAAGGCTCTTGGGCAGCAGCTGGTGGGTGGGATGTCCTATGCCCTGAGTGTGGTGGTAAGGGGCCTGAGGCCGCCCCATGCCCACCCCTTCCCACCCTGAGCCTTCTTTCTCCCTAGATGCTGCTGTTTCTTCAAGAGGAGAAAGAGAAAATCGCTGCAGCGGCACAAGTGACCCCTGGGCGAATGCAGTGCTGTGAATCTGGGTGTAGCCCCTTAGGGCTAGAGCTTGTCCATGAGGCCCTCAGGGCATACCCACAGTGGCCCAGGGCCAGCTTCTGGCCCAGTGCTGGGTCTCAGACTGCAGGGGCTGCCAGGGCCTGGATCAGCCCACTGGCCCCCACCCCCAGGACATGGGGTCACTTCTTTCATGTAAGACTTTGGCCGAAATTTCTACACCTGTGTCTAGTCCTCCCCTCCAAGAGCATTAACTATTTAAAACAAGGAAAAAAGGAAAAAAACAGAGGCCCACCCCGCCCCCTCCCCTTGCCCACCCATTTCTTTGCTGAAGTGAGTAGTGTGATCCCGGAGGACCCGCCCCCTCCAGCCACCCCCATTGTCGTCATAAAGTCCAGCTTGTCTCCCTCGATCCAAAGGCTGTTTTCTCGAGGGGAGGGCAGGCCTGGCCTGGCCTAGGAGGGGTGCTTCAGGCTGTGTTGCCTCCACCCACCTGGGAGGGGGCATAGGCACTGCTGCCACAGGTGAGATGACCCCTGGGCCACCCCAAAACCAAAGGGGTAGACAGGGCTGGGGCCATGCCGAGGCCAGCCCCAACCAAATGCTGCACCAAAGCTTGGGCTGGCTCAGCGCTGGCGGGGTCCTGCCAGGTGGGGTAGGCTGGCTGTGTCCCCTGCTCTTGTGCATAGGTGCCAGGCCCTGCTGAGTCAGGACTGTGGGCAGTGGCTTCTCTCTTTGTGCTCCACCACCTGGCAAAGGAGCGGGAGACAAAATGCCTTAAAGCCCCCAGATACTTATGGGGTGTGGGGGCAGCCACAGGAGGTGGCAGGGTTGTCCCCAGTGAGGTCCCTGAGGCTGCCAGGGCGGAGCAGAGCAGCTGGGGGCCGTGCGTGGGGCGGTGGCTGTGTGAGTCTAGTTCTTGCTTTACAAAGTGTACAGAAATGGCATTTACGTTTCTCTGATGCTCCCTTGAAGCCATAGAATTTAGGGGCTTTTTTAAAAAAATAAAGGAAAAATGAAACCAATCTTGAGTCTGGTGTCTGGTGTATTCCAGGAGGCAAGGCCAGGGGTGGGCAACAGCTCAAGCTCTCATCCTCTGTTGGAAGATTAGTGAGGAGGGTGTGGACACAGCAGGGTAATGGGAGAAAAGGACCCAGTTGAACCAAGGGTATTGCTGCAGTAGGGTGTGGAGCAAGGGAAGCCACTGACCTTTCAGAGATGCAGAGAGGTCACAGGCATGCAGCTGGCGGTGACACATACCTTCCCTGTGCAGGTGTGTCTGAGAAACTCAGTGGCACTGCCCCTAAAGGGGTTGGTCTTGGCTGTGTCTCACAGCACAAGCCAGGAACCCCAATGTCTGGGTTAATGGAGCAGAGAAGAAAAATACCTCTTTAGGACCAAGGTGGCAATGGTGAAAATCAGCCATAATTCCTGAAAATAATGAAATAGGAATTCCAGGCGGCTGAAGTCAAGGACAGCTCCCTGCCACCCTTCTCTGGTGTTTTCTTCCCCCCAAACAGGAGGGAAAAACAAGTCCGCAGCATATACCCACACTCCAAAGTGGGAAGGGGAAATCCCCAAATACCATTGTGGGGTCTTAGTTACCAGCCCACTCAGACTCCTATAAGGCTTGGTGGGGAGTTAGGCAGGATGGTGGGGGCTGCAGTACAGGATTCCACACCTGTCCACAGAGGACAGCTTCCCCCTCAGAGAAGTTATCATAAGGCCAAAGAAGACAGCCAGGTTTGTTCCAAGAAGCATCTGAACACAGTAAAACCATCTTTTTTTTTTTTTTTTCTGAGACAGAGCCTCAAGCTGTCCCCCTGGGTAGAGTGCTGTGGCATCCCAGCTCACAGCAACCTCCAACTCCTGGGCTCAAGCGAGTCTCCTGCCTCCGCCTCCCAAGTAGCTGGGACCACAGGCGCCCGCCACAACGCCCGGCTATTTTTTTGGTTGCAGCCGTCATTGTTGTTTTGGCGGGTCCGGGCTGGGGATTCGAACCCGCCACCTTAGGTGTACGTGGCTGGCGCCTTAGCCGGTTGAGCTATAGGCGCCGAGCCAGTAAAACCATCTTGAAATAGATTCATAAAGTAAGTACAGGACTGGGCACAGTGGCTCACACCTACAATCCCAGCTGCACAGAAGGCTGAGGGCAGGAGGATCACTTGACCCAGAAAATCAAGGGTACCATAAGTTACTGTGACACCATTGTACTGCACCCTGGCTAACAGTGCAAGATCCTATCTCAAATAAAAAACAACAAAATAAGGCCAGGCATGGCGGCTCACGCCTGTAATCCTCTCCTTCCAGGAGGCCAACATGATTGGATTGCCTGAGCTCATGAGTATGAGACTAGCTTTAGTAAGAATGAGACTCCATGTCTACTAAAAATAGAAAAAATAGCCTGGTGTAGTGGTGGGCACCTGTAGTCCGAGCTACTCGGGAGGCTGAGACAGGAGGGTCACCTGAGCCCAAGAGTTTGAGGTTGCTGTGAGTTAAAGCTGACATCATAGCACTCTTCCCAGGGTGACAGAGTGAGACTGTCTCAAAAGAAGGATAGGAATGGACAAAAACATAACTGAAAACCAGCTGATTGAATTCAAGAAATAAACACAAGAAAAAGAAAAAAGTGTTTTAGGCTTGAGAAGGCATTGAAGGCTGGAAAACTTGTGCCAAGAGAATGAAAAGATACTTCATCAAGTAAAATATCAAGCAATAGTAGAAGTGGAAGACAGGCCAATAAGTAATAATATTAGATACGGATTTAAGAGTGTTAGCAGAACAGCTGGGCAAGGTGGCTCATACCCGTAAATCCTAGCACTGTGGGAGGCCAAAGCAGATGGATTGCCTGAGCTCATGGGTTCGAGATCAGTCTGAGCCAGAGCAAGACCTCGTCTCTAAAAATGTTAGGGTTGGTGCCAGTAGCACAGTGGTTACGGCGCTAGCCACATGCACCAAAGCTGGCAGGTTCAAACCCAGCCTAAGCCAGCTAAAACAACAGGACAACTGTAACAAAAAAATAGCTGAGTGTCATGGCAGGCACCTGTAGTCCCAGCTACTTGGGAGGCTGAGGCAAAAAAATCACTTAAGCTCAAGTTTTTTGTTTTTGTTTTTGTTTTGAGACAGAGCCTCAAGCTGTCACCCTGGGTGGAGTGCCGTTGCATCACAGCTGACAGCAACCTCCAACTCCTGGACTCAAGCAAGTCTCCTGCCTCTGCCTCCCAAGTAGCTGGGACTACAGGCACCTGCCACAACGCCTGGCTGTTTTTTGGTTGCAGCCATCCTTGTTTCACGGGCCCAGGCTGGATTTGAACCTGCCAGCTCAGGTGTATGTGGCTGGCCCCTTAGCAGCTTGAGCCACAGGCGCCGAGCCTAAGCCCAAGATTTTAATATTAAATGTTAACCAATTTCATGTAAGCAATTCCAAATTGTATATAAAATCAACACATTGTACCCCATAAATGCATTAACGTACACAGTTAAGATAAATAAAAAATAGCCAGGCATTGTAGTGAGCATCTGTAGTCCCAGCTACTTGGGAGGCTAAGGCAAGAGAATAACTTAAATCCAAGAGTTTGAGGTTTCTGTGAGCTGTGATGCCATGGTACTCTACCTAGGGCAACAAAGTGAGACTCCATCTCAAAAAAGGGAAAAAAAAAAGAGTATTAGCAGAGGTGAAACAACCAGTATTTTTTTTTTTTTTTGAGACAGAGCCTCAAGCTATCCCCCTGGGTAGAGTGCTGTGGCATCACAGCTCACAGCAACCTCCAACACCTGGGCTCAAGCAAGTCTCCTGCCTCAGCCTCCCAAGTAGCTGGGACCACAGGCACCCGCCACAACGCCCGGCTATTTTTTTGGTTGCAGCCGTCATTGTTGTTTTGGTGGGCCTGGGTTGGATTCAAATCTGCCACTTTAGGTGTATGTAGCTGGCACCTTAGCCACTTGAGCCACAGGCGCCGAGCCAACAACCAGTATTTTAAACTGTTGTCTGAGGGAACTTTCCAAATAAGTGTGACTTTCCTTGTTGAATGGGCACCTGGGAAAATTAAAACAGAATAATCAATTTTAAGACATAGCCTGGAAAAACAATTTTATTTTATTTTTGAGACAGAGTCTCACTGTGTCGCCCTTGGTAGAAAGCTGTGACTTCACAGCTCACAGCAACCTGAAACTCTTGGGCTTAAGTGATTCTCTTGCCTCAGCCTCCCAAGTAGATGGGACTACAAGTGCCCACCACAACACCTGGCTATATTTTGGTTGCAGTTGTCATTGTTTAGCAGGCCTGGACCTAGCTCAAACCTGCCAGCCTCAGTGTATGTGCTATGGGCGCCACCAACAAATTGGTAATCTTTGTGAGCCTACAGGCAGATGGGTGAAATAACTTACAAAGACAAGAAAACTAAGATTGTGGCTCGGCACCTGTGGCTCAAGTGGCTAAGGCACCAGCCATGTACACCCAAGGTGGCGGGTTCGAATTCAGCTGGGACCCGCCAAACAACAATGACGGCTGTAACCAAAAAATAGCCGGGCATTGTGGCGGGCACCTGTGGTCTCAGCTACTTGGGAGGCTGAGGCAAGAGACTCACTTGAGCCCAGGAGTTGGAGGTTGCTGTGAGTTGTGATGCCACAGCACTCTACCCAGGGCAACAGCTTGAGGCTCTGTCTCAAAAAAAAAAAAAGAAAACTAAGATTGTATTCTTTTTTTTCTTACAGTTTTTGGCCAGAGCTGGGTTTGAACCTGCCACCTCCAGCATATGCGGCCAGCACCTTACTCCTTTGAGCCACAGGCACCATCCATGAGATTATATTCTTTAAAGTCAACAAAGCAAGTCTTCAAAAGTGTAGCAGTCTTCAGAAGCTCAGGAGAGGCTCACCACCTGAAGCACAGTGGTTATGACTCCAGCCACATACACCAAAAGTGGCGGATTTGAACCCTGCCCGGGCCAGCTAAACAACTGCAACAAAAAATAGCCGGGTGTTGTGGTGGGCTCCTGTAGTTCCGGCTACTTGGGAGGCTGAGGTAAGAGAATCGCTTAAGCCCAAAGAGATTCTGTGAGCTGTGATGGCACGATGCTCTACTGAGGGTGACATAGTGAGACTCTGTCTCAAAAAAAAAAAAAAGCGCAAGAGAACCAAGTGTGATCTGAGTGTTCTGTGATCAGCCAAGCTGTCCCTTGAGTGTCAAACCCATGAAAAGTCTAAGTTTGACATGCAAGAACAAGAACTCAGGGAGTGGTGACCCATCTACTTTTTCTGGAGCTTTGCTGGATGGCAAGTGGGTTTAGGAATGTACAACTAAAAGATGAGATCAAAAGTGGGAGGCCAGGGTACCTCTGTGACATATTATGACAAAGTAAAAATAATGCAACTATAAGGTTGAAATGAACAGAGGAATATGGAGTGAACCCACTGGCTGTCTAGGCAGTAGCTTAGTGTGACATTCACCCATTGTATCCGTTTAGCATGCTAGGGTGGTTGAATAAACAGATTGAGTACTGTTTGCATTATTATAAAATATTATAAATCAAGAATAGAAGGAAAGTTAGAATGAGCCCTATGATGTTAGATCAGAGCCAGAGGTATCAGTTCAAACTATAGCTTTTAATATAATCAGATGAATAAATGCAGAAATAGAAATGTGTGGGCTCAGCGCCTGTGGCTTAAGCGGCTAAGGCGCCAGCCACATACACCTAAGTTGGCGGGTTCGAATCCAGCCCGGGCCCGCCAAACAACAATAATGGCTGCAACTGGGCGTTGTGGCGGG